TGTCACTGACCAAGTTCATGTCCATATTCAGGTCCCCAGTGCAAATTAGTTAAGTTCTATTCTAAACCTACCAAAGCTTGGAATTGTTGCAGGAAGGATGTTAGCTTATCAAAAATGATTTTGTATCCTAGAGTAATTTTCATTTATAAATTGTCATTATGTAATATCTATATTAGTAGGGCTCGACAAATCAGTGTATCTACTTGCCCATGGAGAGTAGATTTCAGCCAGTCGCCCAGTTCACCGGCGGCGTGCACATGCGCAATGTGGGTCCGGCGCATGCACAGTGCAAGGCTGGCGAGTGGATTTCGCTGTGGTTTGTCGAGCCCTGTATATTTGTTTTTCATGTCACATTTGTTTGTCCAAAGAATGTATTTGTGCATCAAAAAAACCCCAAAACATGGTGTGTCAGCTTTGAAATGTATGAGAGTCCCCATAGGGGGGCTCTTGTGTGTTTCAAAACAGCAGCGCCACATGGAGCATGGGGGTTAGCTGGGGACTCCCTAGCTAACCCCAGACTCCCTGTGCCATTTCTGCAGAACCCAGAGTCAGCTGGGCTGGGCTCTGTGCAATGCTGCCACTTTGAAATGCTGAGTGGAGCCTGGGATCAGCTGAGTAGTCCCCAGCTGATCCTGGGTTCCATGAAAATGCTGCCCAGGGTCAGCTAAGGAGTCCCCAGCTGACCGCAGGGCTGCATGCAGTGCTGCTGCTTTGAAACACTACTGTAGTGTTTCAAAGGAGTAGCTGCATGGTGCCCAGATATGGGCTGCGTGTGGCGCTGCCACTTTGAAGTATGCCTTCTTCCCCTCCCCTTTGCTGCCTCTATCTGATAGAGGCATCATGGGAAGGGAGGGAATCGACTAGTCCTTAACATCCTTAGTGTACACTATATGTTGTTCAGGTGATATGCAATTTTTCTTGAATGGTTGTATTAATTCTGTCAAGTGGTATCCTCTTTATTCCATTTTTGATGACTTAAGCAAAACCTGTCTTGAGCAGTTTGACAGTTGTGTAACAAGCAATAGTAATGTCATACTTGGCACAATGAGTGAATTGACTTCACTTGAAATGCTTAAATATCCCTTTAAAAAGTATGTATCCAAAACAGAGAAGGATATGTATTTGCCAGTTTGCAAAAAGATTCCATCAGATACTGAACATTTTGAAGAAATTTGTTTCTGTGCATAAGTCATTTAAATTGTAGTAATAATGTCTTTTTTTATTTAAAAGTTTCAGAGAGTAGCCAAGTTAGTTTGTACAGGATAAACTTTAACAACAAATGGTCTGGTAGCACTTTATAGACTAACAAAACATAATACCATCTACATGTTTTGTTAGTCTATAAAGTGCTACCAGACCATTTATTGTTTTATTTAAATCAGCAATGGGTGTCCATAAATTCATTGTTGTTTGAATTTTGTCAAAACGTGTGCCTGTCCTTGTTCTATTTATTTGGCACTAGCTGAAATGGTAAGGTATTTTGAGCTCTTTTGCTCAAATTCAGGGACAGATCTTCAGATGATAAATTGGCATAGGTTGATTGAAGTCACTAAAGCTTTGACAGTGTACACCGGCATAGGATCTGCCTCTCTGTCTTTTGGGTTTCAAGTTTGCTCACTCTGTAGCTCTAAAACACTGTTTAACTTGCACAGATAATTTTATTTATGCTGGAGCTTCAGAGGATAGCTGAATTAGTCTGTTACAGGGAAAAAAACAAATGGTCTGGGAGCACTTTATAGATTAACAAAACATGTAGATGGTATCATGAGCTTTTGTGGGCACAGCCACTTCTTCAGATGACCAGAGTTATGAGTGGGGGGGAATGAAACTCTGGTCATCTGAAGAAGTGGGCTGTGCCCACGAAAGCTCATGATACCATCTACATGTTTTGTTAGTCTATAAAGTGCTACCAGACCATTTGCT